AATCAAACACACCTCCCATTGCAAGCCAGCGAGGACCAATTCCATCAGGCGCTGGAACGTCGCGGGAGCAGAGTGTAATCCCATGGGTAAGCGATTGAATTGGAAGAGGCCGTGCGGCGTTCGGAAAGCAGTTTTGGGTCTAGATTCGTCGTCCAAGGGAAGTTGCCAAAATCCTGAGAGCAAATCCAAAGTGGAAAAGAATCGCGATCCCGCGAGGGCATCCAGCGATTCGTCCATTCGAGGAAGCGGATAAGCATCGGCCACCGAGATCTTATTTAATCGCCGGAAATCAACGCAGAACCTTAGGGACCCGTCGTGCTTTTTAACCAACACTATGGGTGCACCCCAAGGGCTGGTTGAGGGAGAAATTATGTCCGATTTCAACATGTCATCTACAGCCGATTTGACATGATCCTTTTCGGCGGGACTTAACCGAAAAGGATTCTGGCGGATAGGAGCGTTGTCACCGGTGTCAATATGGTGGCGTAGCAATTTGGTACATCCGATATCGTATTTGTGTTTACTGAAGACGTCGGAAAATTCTCGCAATAAGGCGCGTAATTTAGCACGTTGTGCGTCGGACAGGTCAGGTGACTCAGCACACAACGCATCCAGCCAACCCTCGTCAGCGTCTGAGGCTAATCGCGTATGAGAATCGGTCGCCACCTGGCCAACGATCGGCGTTTCCGCAGGTACCGGAACCGCATGTGCGAACACGGTACCTTGCGAAACCACTGCCGTCCGTGTCCCGACATTGAGGACCGCGATAAACGGGTCCCCATCCCCTTTAACAATAGTCTGGGCCGTTACCAGATCTGGCCCACTCACCCCGGCTCTAGATGGTCCCAAAATAACGCCTCGGTCAGAGACCCCTTTATCGAACGGACGGCGCAAGCGCAGGGGTACCAACATCTGTGCCCCCGGGGGTACACGCACCGTCCGAGCAACAAGTGCCTTTACCGTAGCACAGGCAACACGCACGGGAGGGGTGGCAGGTAGGAACGTCATGCGTCGGCCTGATGGAAGCTCGATGCATTGCTGGTCAATCAGAATTTTGATGGGCAATTTGGCCAAAAAGTCTGTCCCCAACAGGCACGGAATAGCCAGCGAGGAAGAGACGAACACCGGCCCAGATAGTTTAATGTCCCCTATGGAAATTTGCGCTCGAATTTGACCGATAATACCCAACGAGCCCCCATTTGCAGCGTAAAACGGTATATCGACAGGGAGCAACGGGCGACTCTGAACGGGCAGAATATTATAAATCAAATCCGAAATGATAGTTGCCGAAGCTCCCGTATCGACCAATAACCGTACCTCCACCCCGTCAATATGTCCCGCGACAACGGACGACCCCGCCGATGCAGCCACAACTCGGTGAGCCAACTCGGACCATTGGCCCGGTTGGAGCGCCCTCCCCGACATGCCGCGACCCGACGCACCAGCACCCAACCCCCGAGAATTGTGTGCCAGACCATGTGATAGGAAAGTAGGTGTGTGTGCAGGCCGAACATGTGGGGTGCCATGACTTGCCCGAGGATGTTGCGAAGGCTTGTGAAGAGGGCCGTCCGCAGCTCCAGGTCTCGCACCGCGCTGTCGAGGAGCCCGGCATCCGGACGCCACGTGACCCCGGAGGCCACAATTATAGCAGACGACGAGCGTTCCAGAGGACTTGGGCTGGTCTCGGTGGCTTGGGACGTCACGAGCTGGACGCTCGGCAGATCGCCATCCTGCAGAACGATCCGCAGCGAAGGCTCCCTCCATTTCGGAAGAGGTCGCCGCCACGGTGTGTCGTGCAGCAGCTTTGTTCGCCTTCCTCCGCTGGGAGATGAGATTGGCGTGAATGTGCCTTGCAGCCCGCAGTGATGACATATCCGCATCGTCCTGCGCTAGGATGGTGAAGTCCAGATCGTCAGCCAGCAGCAAAATTTTCTCGGCCACCATCGCATCGATCCCCTCTTCATCCATGCGCGGGAAAGCGTCTTTCGCCAATGACAGCAGGGCCGTGCGATAAGCGAGTGGCGATTCCTTGTCACCCTTCTGCCGCTCATAGAAGAGCTGGCGACAATCAGAAGGCGGCCCATAAACGGTGGCCAGCAGCTGCAGCGCCGACTGAATGGTGGAGCGTGCCGACTTGGGTGCAGCAGTGAGGGTGCCCAGGGCGTCGCCGTCCAATAACGCCGGGAGAGCACACAGCGCCTCGTTGTCCGACCAGCCTGCCATCTCTTGGTGGGCCAAGAACCGGCGCTGGAACCCCCCCCAATCGCCGTCGCTTGCAACAAATACCTGCAGGGCCGGCAGGCGTTGCTGGAATGTCGGCTCCGTCTCCGATCCTCTTGCAGCGTCTCTTGCAGCATCCGTAGCGCGTCCCCGTACTGTATGGTCGGTGCTGGCGTCAGCTGGTGGTGACGTTTCAACCCCTGATAGGCTGCCACCGCGACCCGCCTCCGCCGATGACGTGGCGGCTGCTGGCTGGGCACCGTCTCCCGCGTGACGAGCTGGGACTCCTCCCTCCGCCTCTACTGTCTTCGTGGCGGGATTTTCGAGTCGCCCCGCTGTTGTAAAGGCGGGAGTTTCTGGCGGGCGTTGTCCATCTTCCCGCCGCGTCGCTCCTCCCGGCCCCAGGCGAGTTATTTGTTCCAGCATAGCGGCCGCTGCATACAAGAGCTCCGCCAGCCGCGAGTGAGCCAACGCCAACTCGTCAGTCGACGTCCCGGCCCTCTCCGACGGCCCCGCCGATGCCGGAGCCGGCAGCAGTTGTGCAGGTACGTCGGCGGCGATGTCTTGCACTGCCCCTCCCTCGTCGTCATCCTCTCCTGGGTCTTGGGCACGAGTCTTCCGTCTCGTATCCATGCTTGGACCACTTCTAACACCAGATGTAGTAAGTAGCAGAGGAGACGATGTCGAAGTTGAGACACACTGTTTATTAACTCCGGGACAGATACAATAGTTGAAGGGGTATCGGCCCCTTCACCCGTACTATGGGAAACCCACCCTAGTACTAAGCCCTCTGTCCTGTCCCCCAGTCCTCCTCTACTGGGCTACGGGAGGCTGACTGATCTGGCCCTGGCAAGCACAGATCTCGGCACCAGCTAACCAGCCTTGCCCTGACAAGGGCAGCGGTCTGGAAGCTCCTGGGCCGCGCCACTGGCTTACCCGGCTCGGCCCTTATAAGGACGGCGAGACCGGGGAGTCCCAGGGCCTAATCTCCGAGTCTTGGATCTTCACTGGTCAGCTTCGTGTCGAACTCCCCTCGAGCTCTTTGGGTTCCACCTTTTATAGGGATCGCCTCCGAGGGCTGGGGCGTGGGCAATAACTGATGCGGACGTCGGTGTGACCACCCGTGTATGTGAGTGCCGACAGCCCTGTGTTTGTTGTCCGCTGTTCCTCCCGTAATAACCCCTACAAATGTATTCGTCCGTCCATTTGTAGGAGCTGGCACCAAAAATCTCGACAGCTCAAGCAGTGGGCACCACAGTAGCGAGATGTTAACTACCTTTCCTGGTACACAGGAGGTCGTGGGTTCGATTCCAACCCTGACGCCTGTATATTTGGAGTTTGCATGTTCTGCCTATGGTCACGTGGATTTTTCTCTAGGCTGTCCGGTTTTTCCCTCCATATTTAGAAACATGCGTTTAGAGTACTTGGCTGCTAGAAGTTTCCACGTGGTAAGCCGCTTCGTTGAGCTATCATTTGTAGTCGGGTCGCTTCTGAAAAAGGGCGATACAGCTCAGTGGGCCTTACCAGGTAAAATAAAAAAAAAGATTTCGTTTTGTATTTTTATGGCGATTAGGACGAATGAAAATTCGGCTTTGGTCACTTACGTTAAATAGCGGGTTTCATAATAGACGGACTTATTAAGAGCTGACACTCGGAGACTGCTAACCGGGTCCATGAACCCACAAATCTGTCCCCGCTGAGGGAGACCGACAAATCGATGCCTGGCTGTGGGCCCGGGCATTTAACGATGAAGACGGTGGCTTGGGGGTCACGTGACGTGGCTGTGCGGTGGTATGGCGACTCTTCGGGACAGCCCGCATGTGTGTTTTTGTGTGTGTGGGGAGCGAACGGGAGTGCAACGGTTAGCACGCCACGCCACGAACCCGGCGAGCCGAATTCGATTCCCGCTCATGGCCAACACCAGTGACAATTATCCTAATCGGTCCTGGGCCTCCTCCCCTAGGTCGACTCAGCCTCAATAGAGTACCTAGTGCGATGTGTAAAAACATCGCCACTGGAGAGACAAAGGCGGCTGGACGTGGTGATGGCCACCCACCCTCTCGTGTGCCGTTCCGGCCTTCATAGGTGCTCACTAACAGCACTTGCCCTAACCGTCTATTAAGGATTCATGGGGGATCTTTGTCTTTAGATTTCTGGGCATGGGCCCCAGATGGCATTCAACTCTTCACAAAGAGCATGGCAGTGGCCGCCATGAACATGAACTATATTCTTATTATGATATTGCGCACGGTAGCAGCAGCAAGATGCTCGGGAGGTGAATGCCAACGTCGATGTTTGCCGGCCATGACGAGAGGGCTTCACGATAGAGAGAGAGTTCGTGCCGTTGTGCTGTTCCTCCTCCTGCGTTGAAGGAGCGCAGACTACGGTGGGTTTACTGAATGGGTCCATAGTTTGGGTTGCATAGCTACAATCACACTGCTGTGCCTTGTCTTTAATGTATGTCTATGCATCTCTACGGGTTTGCTACCCAGTTCATAGTTGGGGTTGCATGGCCACAAATGCGCTATTGTCGCTTGCCGCTTTAACTTAACATTTTACGAAGGGGGGGGGGGGGTGTGCATCGGCCTGCTGATGTCAAAGTCTGGAGGTTGCGATGTTTGGGTCTCGGATGACGTGTTAAAGCTGGACATGCGTGAAATATAATAGTATGGAATTGGATCGAAGATAGAAATTTAAATCAATAAAACCAGCGGTCCATTTGAAGCAAGTCCGGTGATGAATTCCGATGAAGTTAGAAGGGGGAATTCACCGAGCCTCACCTTGAGAGCGCAGAATATGCAGGAGTCTCCGAGGCACTTGTGTCCGGACAGCTGGCGGAAGCTCCTCCGGAACACGTCCAACTGCCACAGCACCTGCACCGCCACGCACCGCCACGCACCGCCACGCACACGCGTCACTGCCTCGCCGACACGGCGTGCAAACGGCCGTATCCGCCGAGAATACCCACGGCAAGCAGAATGATTATCTCCCGCGAGTTTGTGCCGCGGGTCTTTTTATATATTTATATATACACGTCAAACCGCTCGGAGGCACCGATCACACTGGTGATCTCCTTGGTCTGACACCCATGCGGACTTGCCTTCCTAGAAAATCTAAAATTTAAGAAGGGAAAAAAACCCCCGATTCTTTACTTATTTTTACTTGTATTTACTACTTACCTTTCTTATGCTATTATTTGCGCACAGTTGCACTTTATTTCCACGCGCGGTTGCGATTTACTTTGCCCAGTCGGCGTTAACCGCCGAGGTCGTAACAGATTTCTTTCTTTATTCCCGTTTGCTGCTCTATGCCCCCTGTATCGCTCGCAATCTACTGTCACGTGCACACCGATGCCTCACTTTGTTGAGGGCGATTATTGGCACGTAAAAGAAAGATTGATTGATTGGTTGCTATCTAATCCTTCGCTGGCCGACAGTTACCAAGGGCCCGCAGTGCGACTGCGGTCGCCAAACCATTGGCCACGGTGGTGACGGCCACTGCCCGATTCGATCTTTCACACAGCTACGGTGGAGCACCGTGTGCCGAAAAAAAACGGTCCAGATTCTGCTTGTATTGAAGCATTCCAAGGAGGACTGGCTGCTGACAAGAGAGGATTTGCGTTGAGAGTATTGTAGGAGCTTGCACCAAAAACAGCTCAAGCAGTGGGAGCCAACAGTGGCGAGATAACTGCCTGGCCTGGTACACAGGAGGTCGTGGGTTCAATCACAACCCTGACGCCCGTATATTTGGAGTTTGCATGTTCTGCCTGGATTTTTCTCGGGTCTGTCCGGTTTTTCCCTCCACATTTAGAAACATGCGTTTAGAGTACTTGGCTGATATAAATTTCCACACGATAAGTAAACTTCGTTTAGATTTTAGTTTTAGTTTAGTTTAGACACTATATGTCGAAACCGGTCCAGAGTTTTATCATACTGTTATCAACGCTGCTGAAATTATGCACTCCGAGAACTCCATGCGGTTGATGGATTGTGTGAAAAATAATCTTATTTTCTTTCATAGAGGAAGCAGATATGTGATGGAGAGACTGTCAGCTAATTTATTTTCCTATTTAAGTCTGTGGGTTTCCATACAAGTATATGGGTTTTGATACAAGTCTATGGGTTTCCATACAAGTCTGTAGGTTTACATACAAGTCTATGGGTTTATATACAAGTCTATGGGTGTCTGCATGAGTCCATGTGTCCATCTGTAAAAGTCTATAACTTTCTCTCTGAACCTATAATTCAAACCACGGACCGCATATTAAATGCCACTGCCCGCTTTGATCACTCGCCGGTGGAATTTCAGACATTCACCGCGAGGCGACTCCTGCAGCCACCCACTGGCTCACTCACCAACTCTCACGTGAACCTATACACGTGACTGACCGACTCCCCAGAAAACCTCCGATGAGCAGGGTTGGCTAGGTACGGTGCGAATGAAGTTCAACACACACACAAACGGGACAAGTCACTAAAATTTACCTGGGTGCTGCGTGCAACCCACTGACCACGCATAGCCCTCTCATCGACACCACTCGTCTTTGAAAATCACTTTCAGAGCCGTGCTTTTATGCCTCACTTAAAATTATCGTCGTAGGTGTATGGGTTCCATTTCAGTCGGATGAGTCTTCTCCGACTCTGTGGAGATCTACGGTCGGTGCGAGTTGGTGGAGAGGCCCCCCGGAGCAGTTCAGGTTCCGCGCGTCGCTGACGTTGGCCGTGACAGAGAATCGACCGCGGGTCGCCGGGTTTACAGCGCTGTCAGTGAACTGCCGTGCCACCGGTTTAACACGAAGGCTTCCGCGACCAATATCATCCATAATAGAGGTTTTGGGTTAGATCGTGTCAATATAAATGCGTCGTTAAACCCGCCACCACCCAACACAGCCAACTAGTAAGGGTTGTCACGTAAACAGAACGTGCCAATTCGTCACTAGTACAGCACACCGGTGTGTTGGAGAGCCAAGCCACAACATTTACAATCTGAGTACGACGTTTTGCCTGGAATTACAACCAGCTTCATCAGGCAAGAGCCAGATTTGTGGAGAAATCCTCCTGTTACATCCTTAAATCGAGGGATAGATGTGACGACATAACTAACCTAAAAACCTACATTATAGTGTGCCACCAGCCCTCTCAATATACAATATGGAAAACAGTGGCAGCAGTATTATTGTTATCATTATGGCATTATAGCTAGCAAGCATTATTATATTCTTGTATATCACCAAATTCAGTTGCTGATTTTAAACATTATTTTAAAATAGTTACACAGATCAGTGCGTGTTAGTACAAAATGTACTCTGTTACTTTAATTGAATTACACTATTTCCACAGCAATATATAAAAATTAATCATCGCAAGGTCTCTGAAGACCTCCGCACAGGGGGCCACGTGTCCCTTCCCTGGGCACGTCAGCAGGCCGCCGCGTGAATCAATCTCTTCGCTCGAGAGCAGGCTGGCTCGGCGGCGAGCGCGACGACCGCTCGAATACCGCACCGGTCTCCAAGTTAATCCTCCCACCGCCGCTAAACCCCCCGGGGGAACCTTTGTGCGCGAAAACTTGCCCAAAGGCATCGGTTCCACGAGAAAGCAGAGCGCCGGGGATGTCATGAAGAACGCGGTGAAGCCATAAACAGATGAGTTATCGCATAAATAGACGCATCAGTTTGCAACATCAGCGACAGCGGGCTTGCTTTAGCAAGGTCGAAGGTCGTTGTCATACAACCTAATTAATCATCTCGTCCCTCGTCGATATTTCCATTTTTTTACAATACCTCCTGCGTGGCCGCATAATTGGACAAGGCTCCTGAATATCTATTCTTTATAAACCTCTTCTATTTTGCTAATGAATATCTATTCCTGGTGAAGGGCTTGATGCTGGGCCTAGAAAGCTCCAGGCTCATAGTGAGAGAGGGCCCGGCGTGAATCCGTGTTCCATCCTCCCGAATTCAAGCGGGCTTCTCAAGTGCAAACGAGTCGATGTGCTCAGGTGTGGTCAAGCACGACGGCAATTATTTGATCGGTCAATCAATTTGCAACGTCCAGCTGCGAAGGCTCCAACCAGTGGTAGCGATGCGACGAACATCCTCTGGGGGCCGTGAAGGAGCGCTGGCGAAGGCGCGAAGTGTCCACACGCGTTTCTAGTTTCACATCCAATGCCTCCTTGTCGAAGACGAGCGAGCCGCGCGAAACGGGAAATTGCGTGCGGGCAGCAAGCAAACATCACCGCGTGTTGCCGGTGGAGTTTGCTTTCCGACACGAGTCCCCACCGTGCTGGCTACGGGAACCGCGGGAGTACACGTCTCATCACTTCGCGACACACGACAGCTGGCACCCGACTGGTGATTCATAATGTCAGAAAGCGAACAATAAACATACGGCACGATAAAAACTGTCTCGTCTCCAAGTCAACGAGAGGTGAATCCCGACAGGGGACTTCAAACAGGGGGGACAGGGTTGGCTGTGTGGAGCTGATTAGACAGCGCTAACAGCAGGGGAGAAGGAGAGACCTCCCATCAAGACGGGGCAGCAGACTGGAGTGGAGGATGCTGCATTTAAAACGCGTGGCCGGCGAGGGCCTCTGATCATTTTGGCCCGACTTTCAGAGGGACAAAATCACAGCCAACAGACGAGCGAGGCGCACGTCCAGTCTGAGGTTCACGCTATTTAATTGAGATTCCGATTTTTCCCCCCATTTCTGTGACTCTGCCAGGCGAGGTAGTTAACATCTCGCCTCTGAGGCGCCCCATGTACCCTTACAGCCGCCTAAGGATACACTTTAAGACAACACTGATGACCCAAGTCTGACACACGCGATATATGAGTGGACAATCGGAATCAGAATATTTATTTATACTGGAGAAATCCATAAGGATGTTACAACAATAGGAGTGCCAAATACGAGAAAGGTAAACAAATCACCCAAACAATGGGCGACGATCACTGGCCACGTTGAAGAAACAAGGCCACCCCCCCCCCCCTGCGTGATGGCCTGGTATCGTTCGGGACAGGAGGGCAGTTTAAATAGTAAGCAGAGTAGTTGCACCAAAAATTATCGGTCTTTCGGAAATTTGTGACGACGGCACCCGACTGGATTATTGTGACGACGGCTTCCTGCCACGGAGACCCGAGACGTGGGGCTGCAGCAGCAGGGGTAACCGGCCTGGGAAAGCCGAGGCGCCTCGCTCCTCCTCACCTGGATGGCGCTGTTGAGGAAGCAGCTGTTCTGGCCGGGCTCGTTGAGGAGGCCCTTGGCGGCCGCCAGCGACGTCACGCTGCCCAGGAGGTGGCCCCTGCGCAGGGTGGAGCCCGCAGGGCGCCCCCCGCCAGGCCGCCCGCCGCCCGGCTGAAAGAGGCTCCGCATCCACGACATGCCTACACACAAACGGCGAGATATTGTAACGGGGCAGGGCAACGCGGCGCAGGGCAACGCGGCGCAGGGCAACGCGGCGCAGGGCAACGCGGCGCGGAGCAATGCAGAATAATTCAACACAGATCCGGCCAGGTGGCTCAGTGGTGGAGCGAGCAGCTTGCACTCAGAAGGTTGAGAGTTCAAATCCCGGTTGGGTTGGGGGTTGACACAGCCCATAAACCCTCTGGGATTGTTAAACTGGCTAACACTTTGTGGGGACGCCAACAACAGTTATCCTATGAATATACTTGCTCCCACCATAGGAATATGGAATTTCAACTGCTGGCTTAGGGCCGCATGATATGGCAGGTACCTTACACCGATTAAAAACAGGGCACTTGAATATTTCAAATTTTTTATGCAACATTTTGACGAAGCGAGACCCCATTCAGATTAATTACTTATGTGGCCAGAAAGACAGGGACACGTGCACATTAGCAAAACAGGTTTTTTTTCTATTCACGGCGGTGAACGTCAAATCCAACCGACTGTGAGACAGTCACGCACACAATGCCATAAGGCCTGCGTATAGAGCACCTCCGATTAGTACGGTTGTCTATGTACGGTGCGAAAGAAGTTCAACATACGTACGTTTTGGAAGCGACCCGACCACAAATGGCAGCTCAACGAAGTGGCTTCGCACTTGGAAATTTATAGCAGCCAAATTCTCTAAATGCATGTTGATTCTAAAGGAGGTCGTGGAATCGAACCCACGACCTCCTTTATATCAGGCGAGGTAGTTAACATCTCACCGCATAATATTTCGGTAACTTTCCAAAACGTTAACCGGGCAATGGTGGGAAATTAATCTTTGGCATTTTTCAGTGTTCAGTGGGCAGATTGCTGAGGCCATCTCAAGCCGCACAGAGGAACGCGGCGTAACTCGACGCTGCACAATACGGCTCCATAACGCCGTCGTCATCGCCACAATGTGCCACAATGCGCCACGACGGCCCGGCACACGCAACAGAACCCCCCCCTCCCCCCCCATTTAGCCTCACGGACCATACTCGCTCGCGAACACCGACTAAGGTGGGCTCGACACGCGAGATGGTGGTGCGGCCAGCACCTTGGCCCCCCGCTGCCTTGTTCTCCCCATGGCTAATTTTTATATTTGCTCGTTTAAGGCCGAGTAGAATGATGGGAGGATCAGGGCAGGTGTAAATAGAGACTGGCACTGATGTTATCAATGGGATCGTAGTGTCGTGCAGGAACAGCTGTGCCACCCCTATTCAAAGACAAAACTCCCCCGTGTAGCCTTAGCAGACTGTTGGGGCCAGTTCTGTTAGCGAGTGGCGCCTTTTAAAGCCAGCACGGCACACGAAGGGGGTTGGTGACCAGTACCATGCCTGGCCGCCTTTGTCTCCCTGTGGTGATGTTTACACACCGCACCGGATAGCGAAATAAGGCTAAGTCGACCTAGGAGAGGTCCATGGCCGGTTCAGATATCACCGACACTGGCCGTGACCGTGAATCTAAGTCGGGTCGCCAGGTTGGTAGCACAGTGCACGTTTACTGCACCTCTGCTCCTTGCTCACACGCCCATACACACACACAACAGCACAATAGAGCGGAATACAACGTGACAATGGACGAGCACAAGTTAATCAATTGAGGCTGAGTCGACCTAGGGGAAGCACAAGACCGGTTCAGGTAATCGTCACCGGTGTTGGCTGGGAGCAGGAATCGAACTCGGGCCGCCGGGTTCGCAGTGCAGCGCACTAACACTACCACTCCCCACACTGCCATGTGGAAACACGTGTTCTCATTCAATATTATGTTTTCATTCGTATATACTAAATATCCTCTCTTGAAGCTACAAGTTCATAACATTTTCCGTGGGTCTATCCGTCTATATGATCTACATGCCTGCATGCACCTTTACATCCATCTCTACACAGGTTTGGGTTTCATGTCCAGGAGCTGCAGTCATCAGTGGCGAGTGATGTCTGCACTGGACACTTCCTTCACCAACCCACACTGATGACCAGAGTGGTGAAGTACGGTCAAATGATCGCCAATGGCCGACAGCAGATCAACATCAGGCTGTACACGTACAATGTACACACATACACCCCCCGTGTAGCCTTCATCAGACTGCTGGGGCAATGATGTTTGTGAGCACCCAACGAAGGCCGCAACGGCACACGAGGGGTAGGTGGCCAACACCACGCCTTCCAAACACCACATCCACTCTCTGTTCCACCTACAACAACACACCCTAGGTCAATCCCTCAAATGTAAACAAAACAAGACCATCTTGACATTCATCGCCAAACTATCACGAGTTTTCACAGTAAGGAAATGAGCACCAGGTACTCATTTACGGCCGAGTCGACCTAGGAGATGCACGTGACCATTTCAGATATTCGTCGTCACCGAGCGGGAATTGAACTCGGGTCGCCAGGTGAATGGCACAGCGCGCCAATCACTGCGCCGCCGCTCTCCACGTACGTACAGCAGCGGCTGCGAGCACCGGGAGAGTAAACGCACACCAGCACACGGCTCACGAGCGCGCGTGCCGGGCGAGAGAGAAAGTGACACAGAGACAAAGTGACACAGAGTGAGAGGGAGAATCATGCCGAGAGAGGGAGAGCGCAACGCAGAGCGACAGAGAGAAAGTGACGGAGAGATGAAGAGCTAAACATAGAGAGAGCGACAGAGAGAGCGACGCAGTGGGAGAACAAGTGGCATGGAGAGAGAGCGACACGGCGAGAGAGAGCGACACAGAAAGACACGGTGGCAAAGCGTAATGGAGAGTGCGATTGGCACGGAGAAGCGAGCGAGCGACACAGAAGAGAATGAACGCAGAAACTCACGGTGGCAGGGGGGCGGGGGGGGGGGGCATGCGGACGGCACGGCGCCACGAGCGATGAGGGGGGCACCAACCCGAGGCTGACCACACAGGCACTGGCACCACGAGAAGTTCGAGGGACGGACTGACGGACGCACACACTGAGGGACGCACACACTGACGCACATGTCCGTCCGTGCGTTGCTTGCGCGTCGACGAAAAATGCAGGTTCTCGAAATAGCAACGACGGAAGAAGGCCGGCGGTCAGGACGTGGAAGGCTCACGCGGCACAGCAGATGGGCACGTCCATTACACGCACACACACGCACACACACGCACACGCACGCACGCACACGCACGCACACGCACGCACACGCACGCACACGCACGCACGCACGCACACGCACACCACGCTTTGTTGAGCAGATCCCGCGCTCATCGGGGCACCCTGGGATTGTGTTTCACTGAGACGGCGCGCCACTCGCTCACAACCTCGGTGGACTTCACGCTAACAGCCACAACGGTGAATATAAAGTGACGGCGGCAACGCGACCGCCGCAGGACGCGATTCAGTTCCGACTCAGAGAGCCGATTCATTTTTCAACGTTGTTTGGGATTTCCCCCCCCCCACCTCCCCAACGAATCCTCTGGACGCGATGTTTTAGTTACGAGGACGCTGCCTTCGTTGGGTCGACGGCTCACAATGGCGTTGGTGTGACCCCGTGCTCGGCCTTTTCACGCGAAGGAGAACCAACAGGTTCAAATGCCTCCACCTGTGATTCAACCGCTCGAGTAAAACCAGGTTACAGCACACGATGGAGAGCGAGGGAGCGCGCGCGAGCTAAAGAGAGATCCCTGGGGTCTCGACTTGGTTTTTACCTGGCTAAAAATAGATATAATTAATGATTGATCTTAAACGTAAAGGTTACAATTCAAAAAAACGTGTCGTGCACCCCAAGAATGTTTCTTCATTTTTAAATCTATTGATCACAACTGTGTTCCATTAAACCGATTTATATCATGTTATATAACCAGACCAAACCCCATCCCTAAAATCATTACGATTTGTATAATATTGGTCTTCTTATGAAAGAACATATCCCCCCCCCACCATGGGAACGTGGAATTTCCGCCACTGGATCGAGGCCATCGATGGCGACGAGCACGGCCCAGCGTTCGTTTGAGCGGCGATCCTCTTCCACTCCGGTTGGTCGCTCAAAAAAGTAATCTTCAGGAAGTTCACGTGGGAGCATATTTGGCCAACTTCCTGCCAAAATGTCTTACGTGCAGAGGGTACATGAACATGAAAAAAATGTCCCACAGACTGCCTACAACGAACCAGCTTGCTGTACTGCCAGCTGCTGGCCACAACATAGCCCAGCGGAGCAGCGAGCGTCTCGCCGCGTACGATGTAATTAGCGAGACCCACCAACGCAAGAGCCGTGCTCCCCCAACATCTTGCCCAAGGTTTACTCCACTGGGCCACATCTCTCTGTACATGTGTGTACGTAAAACTTCTTTCGTCTGGTACATGTTCATCGGAAGACGTCATGTGCATTCACCGAGGCTATTTCTGTCTGAACGCCGAACCAACGCATGGGTAGCACGCACGAGAAGAGTGTTGATGCTTTCTGTCCTTTGAGAGACTTAAAAAATTGCGGTGAGACAAGGCAGTGGCGACGGCTTGGGGAGTCTTCCAGCCAGCGGCGGATTGATCGATCGTGGCCTAAGAAGAAGACGACGACACGTTGGGGGAGAGGTGGGGAGGGGAGAGGTGGGGTGTGGGGGAAAGGTGGAGAGGTGGGGGGTCAAGGAGACGCCGCCACCGTCACCGCATCTGAATCTGACGCGAGGAACGAGAGACAACGCCACCCCCCCCCCCCCCCCCCCCACGACGTCTCGACGAAATCCGCGTTGCCGAAGATTTACCGCCGTCTCCTTGACCCGCGGAGGACCGCACGCTCTCGCGACGCTCAGCACTCCCTTCAGCGCAGACAACAAAAAAATCGCCGCGGGTCACCCCTCTGCCCGGCTTGCGAGCAGCCCTGGCAGTTAAAACCCAGGTCGGCAATTACAGTCAGCAACACGGTGCCCGCGGTTTTGATGCCCCGCGGTAAGTAACCGCTTCGTGTGCGTTTATCTGTTGACGTCAGGGAGCCTCCGTTCACAAATCAGAACGTCGAGATGGCAGCCCCAGTGTATGTATGAAGGAATTTATTTCGCGCCGTACGTAGCCAACCGTGCTAAATCGGAGGCGAGCATGCGATAGCAATTCCGCGTTTCTATGGAGGGGGCCAGCCTCATCACTAGATGACCGCTACTGACTTCCCCACCAAAGTGGAAGTAATATTCCCGGGGGGAGCAGGCAGTGGGCCGAGTCGACCCCCGAAGGGGATTTGAACCTCGCGACCTATCGATTTGCCAGTCAATCGCTCTTCCACAGCAACGTCAAATGGATATACAATATGATGTGTGTAAAGGATGGCGTTACAATGCTACTCGCTGAAATATGGACTAGGATTTTTACAAATCACCCCTCCAGCTCCACCCTCCCCCCCCCACTCCCTGTATCATGAATTGTCACGATTCAGCACCAGAATTGTATTCAATGTTGTGGTTCAGGATTAGCACCTCTAGTGGCTGCAGGAATGTAGTGAACCCATGAAACATTCTGAATTCACAAAACACACTGAGCCTTGATGTGTGTACTGTATGTAGAACTTCTTTAACACCGTACGTAGCCAACCGCGCTAATCGGAGGTGCGGGTGGTTCATCAAGCAATGCATAAATCCAATCGTGATACCCAAAGAAGTATCGTTGAGCTTTGAGCTCTCAATTGCCACACAGATGCGTCGGGGACCTGTTTGCTGTTATTACCACCTCTCGTTGCCCTTAGAGGTAAATATCGCACACGATCTCCGCATGATCTACCAACTCCATTCCGGATTACGGATGCGTACCGACAACATACCACGCACAGCTCTGATTTAATACGAACACCGATTCAGTGAGAATGCGGGAGTGCCAGAGTGCACGTCTCATACCAAACATTTACATCTTAAAAGCACGATTATCGTAACGAAGGGGACAGTCGAAGAGCTGAACACACTTTCAAGACGACGTCCAAAGAGAAGATGGAGCATTTAAATCGGTTAATACGCGGATGGACTGTCGCACCGCAGGATCACGAGAGGTGGCGGTGGCTTGGGGGAAGGACTTCACATCCAGCAGTGGATTGAGCACGGCTGATGATGATGACGACAACGACGAGGATATTGACTGAGTTGTGCGATACAATGCATCGTTACGCAAGGCAGGAGGAGCGTGTCGCCGTGTTTGTGTGTGGTGGAACGCAGCGATTGCAGAGCCGAGGTTGATCCCAGGGATTGTATTTATAGCCACGCGACTCCGCGCTGCGCCGGGCGCATTTGCTTAACAGCCCCGGCACTAACGAGTCTCCACGCGTGCACAGACACGCAACGCACACACACACGCACACACGCGTGCACAGACACGCAACGCACACACACGCACGTGCACAGACACGCAACGCACACACACACGCGCGTGCACGCCTGGGCACACAAACTCGCGTACAGCCACTCAAACAAAGAAACAGATCCCCCATCAATCCACACACACATATCTACCCTACGAATGCAAGCGTATGCACTTCCCAACACATAGACAAAGATCTCCCGCATAGCCTTAACGGACTGTTGGGGCAAGTGCTGTTAGCGAGCACCGTTAAAGGGCAGCACGCAACACGAGCAGGTGGGTGGCCAGTATAATGCCCGGCCGCCTTTGTCTCCCCGGTGCCGATGTTTACACACCATACCAGGTACTCATTTAAAGCAGAGTTGACGTAGGGGAGGCCGTGGACCGGTGGAAATATTCCCTACTGTTATTGGTCGTGAACGGGAGTTGAACTTGGGTCGCCGGGTTTGTAACGCAGTGCGTTAACCACGATGCTATGCACCAATCCACACAAACGCGCATGTACACACACCGATCTATCAACACACAAACATACACACACACACCCATCTACACATACATATACAGTCACAAACACACATATGCACTATCCATCACACACATATACATACGAGCACACCCACCCACGCTATCCATCACATATGCATACACCCTATCCATCCACAAATACACACGCACAAACACACGCACCACACACCCACACACAACCATCCAATGAGCATAAGAACACACGCCAGTGCATTCATACACACGTGCAATACACAATCTCTAACACACACATATATATACACGCGTATATCAGCAAACCCACATACAAATCCATGCTCACATGCGCAAACACATTAAAAATGCACGCATATCCATGCATTAACACATGTACACACAAATACCTCCTAATATGGCATTAACAGACTTGGGCAAGTGCTGTTAGCGAGCACCTATGAAGGCCGGCACGGCACACGAGGGAGTGGGTGGCCAGCACCACGCTCAGCCGCTGGTATATCCCGAGTGGCGATGTTTACACACATCACCAGGTACTCATTTGAGGCTGAGTCGACCTAGGGGAGGCCCAGGACCGGTTCAGATAATCGTCACTGGTATTGGCTGTGAGCGGGAATCGAATTCGGGTTGCTGGGTTTGTAGCGCAGTGCGCTAACCGCTACGCTACACACACACACATGCACAAAGACACACCCGCAACATCCATTCATATACAAACCCATGCGAAACCCATCCATCACACACACAGAAATATCTAACCTTCCAAGAAAACACACAGAGCACATACATCTGTGAACACATACACACAGACATGTGCCATATACGCTCAAAACCCACACACACACCGAACACATGTCCACACACATGTCCACACACATACCACACACGTGAAGATCACCGATTAAATGAAGTCATCCATGTGAATTCCAGCGATGTTCTAGAGAGATGGCATTTGATACATATACGCTCAAGCCTTTGCTTTACAACAACAATGAGTTAAAATTCACAATTTGGGTGCCATGCTGGTCCATGCCGGAACCAAGAAGAAACATTACGTAATATGTATTTTACATTGAACTTAGCCTACGACTAACTCCCAATGGTCTACACTTGCACAACAATGTCACGGGCTCTTTAACACTCCCCACCCCCCCCCCCCCCCCCAAAAGCTTAACTTCGTATAAACCTGGGCAGCTGCGTGAAACGAGATCTCGGTACTTAACGCTAAAATCAGTTTTTATAGGTGCTCACCGGCACGCTCCGGGTAAGGTACAACTTGAACCTCCAGGTGCGGGAGGGGGAATGTTGCAGAAATTTTCAGGGCTGCAAAGTGGAGTTCACTTCTCCACACATTCCACCTGCCACTATCTGGAGTTCATTTGCACTTTACCCGGAAGTGTATTGATGACCACCACGTGAACAATCGGTTACAATCAGCTGCGTGGAAAATGGCTCGGGGAGGGGTTGATGGCGACCGCGCACGCTGGCCAGAGGCCTAATCGAACCAGTCGATTGGACATCTCCTCCTCCGGGAACTGCCCAGAGTGTGCCTTGCCCTGCACGAGCCTGGCGAGTGACACTCGGCTCAACGACCCTGTTTGCCTCGTCCCGTTTGTTAACGAGCACCAGCATTGGCACGCAGCTGCGACAGCGACCGCCCGATGGGGAACACTTTGCCGTGTCCGGGTGTTTTACTTTGGCCACGTGAATCTCGCGAGACAGAGATCGTTAACGCATTACAATCTCCCCCTGCTAAAGAGAGCAATTAGAATCAGAATATTCATTTAGACGGAAGAATCCCATGAACTTTAAAGCTCTGTGTCACAGATGTCCAGAGAAAGCGGTGGAAATTCTACATTCCCGTGACGAGGGCCAGTATATCCATAGGACAAACCATGGTTGACTTCCCAAAGTGGATATCTATTTTATTTATCAAGGAGAACCTGCCTGAGGCATTGATGCATTTATCAAAATCCAGTGTAAGGAGTCTGCCTTCAATGCGGAAGAAAACCAGACCAACTGAAGACAGCACAGCCTCACAAGGGGACGACACTAAAAGCTCTACGCACATGATCACGAACTTGCTGTACTGCTATCTTATGGCCACTTCACAGCCCTTTAGTCACTGTGAGAGTTCTGCAAATCTACACAATCCACCAACTTGTGCCTCTGAAGTTCTGGAGAAAAGGGTTCCGTTGCGGTTTGCCTCTGATTAGCACGGTTTTCCCGCACCTCCGAAAGGCCCGGTTGGCTTACATACGGTGCGAAAGAAGTTCAACATACACACCACACAGCGACGTTGGAATGCTACGTTCCCTGTGGCGTGCCGCGGCAAAGCAGCGTCGCACTCCTCAAGCGAGCAGCATAGGCGGGCGACGCTCGCCGTGGCCCGTGCCACTTGGTACGAGGGTGCATCTGCTCCCTCCCCTCCCTCCCTCCCTCCCCTCCCTCCGTAGGGCACTCACCTTGATGCGATTCGTGGAGACCGGTGCCACGGATTTAAACGAGGGGAGCGGGCGTCGCCGGGCGCAATGCTGTGCCGGCTGGCGATGGGGTTGTGACGACGGCGGGGGTGCGTGGTGGGGAAAAAGGGGAAAAAAACAAAGCTCTCCGGGTTCTTGTGGCCCTCGGGAGAGGAGGCGATGAGCGCGAAGATCGGCTCCTTTTGTGACGCTTTAAAATAGCGCAGAAAATCCACAGGAATCCCGACGCCCGCGTCACTCGGCTTAAAACGGCATCGCTGCAGCCGCCACCGCCGCTGCTGCTGAGCGTGGCAGAGCGGCCCCACGTGGCTACAACCGGAGACGGAGAGGAGACCGGGGTCTGCGGCAGCAAGCGCTCGCGTGCTCGCGTGCCTGGAACAAGTCTCGTGTGGTGGGGGGGGAGAAGCGGCGAGTTGGGCGCCGTCAGGGCCGGCGTGCGCCCATGTCGTTGGCGCGTTTCGACCGCGCGGGTCGCTCAGTTTCACTCGCGTTGCTCGTCGATCGGCGGGTCGGCCGGAGGGACGGGCGTTGCCGAAGGATGGACGGACGCACGGGTCCCGGTTTATCCCGCGTCCATTGCCATCCTGCGCGTCTAAACGCGGCGGCCGGCGAGATGGCGCGGTAACGGAAAGTCAATGTCTCTGCCTGCTTTCGGCCAAAATCTATTTTCGCGCATGCGGACCTCGGCTGCCCTGTGCGAGAGTGGACGCCACAATGCAACGGTGCTCACGGTCGGTGCGCAGCACTCAACTGCCTCGGCGATCTTGGCCGCGTCCCAACGTCGCAGGACTTCACAGAGGGGAAAAAAAAACTACGCCTTGACATTCAGAGGTGGTCTGGCTGCACACGCCGGGGGAACTTGCAAAAGTATTGTTTTGTTCTTTTGCGCTTTACTTCCGAAGCCAATTTTTCTCGGCACTTTCCTCGTGTGTATTTTCTTTCGTGCAAATTTTCCACGCAAATTTTCTTTGACCGTCGAGATGCACGAGCCTTCGCCCGATAAGAACAAAAAATAACACTCAAACTGAAAAGTGGAGAAACGCACGCATTGTAAGTCAGCCGTTTCCCCACATTCCCTTTTGCAGGGGCCTCCTCCTCTTGCTCAGCCTACCGGTCTTCTTGGCTTCTTAATGAATCCATCAGCCCTCGTCAAATCAACGGGGTCACAACCGAGGGCCTTTGTTCCGAGTCGCTGGTGCGTTTCACGCTTCCAAACTCTGCCCCGTTGCTGCGGCTGCCCCTAATTGCGGCGAGGTGGTTTCCTTTCCCATGATGCAGTGCGGCCACGCCGTTGGGCAGAACCCTGGGGGAGGATGAGGAGAAACAAGGGCAGGAAGGGAAATAATGGCACCGTTAAAAAAAACCTAAATTCACACGAAGATCCCTGTTGTGCGTGTTTCATCCAATCAGATTCATTGCACGGACCAAAGCGTCTTTCAACGTTCGCGTCGTGAGTTGTCTTCCACGTTGGGGAACAGCTGGATGCTCGGTTAAAATTCGACGCTCGGATTCCTCGGCAATTATCTTAACGGAGTAATGAAAACTTTAATCAAACGCGTGCATGCATATTTGATGCTGCATTCATGAGCACAGTTATTAAAACAACAAACTCTTTACAAGGTGCAACTGATGAAAACGGCCACCGGGTAACAAACAGCAGGCGAGAACTCGCCGCAACACAAACGCTAATCAATTCGTGAACGTAAAACCGCGTTCCGCTATCGGTGGGAGTCGTCAATGAGGCATGGCGACCCCATCGAGCGGAGATGCAGGCGGCGTGAATCTGCACGACGTACCCGCGCTACACCCCCACGGCGCCGACAACGAGCATCGTCGGAACGCTCTCAGCCAGCGGGCGAAACTCCACAATCATAGGTCCGGGGGGGACCAGTATATGTCGACCGAGTAACCGCCGTCAACCTCTCATCGAGAGGTGTGCGTGTGCCGTCCTCAACAGATAAGACGGTGACGACGGCGAGACGGCTGTCGGCACGTTCCGGATATCTCAAAAGGTTAACCACCTTACGTAAGCGCATCTCAAACGTGTTACCCGCTGCGCGGCGTGCGCAATCCGATATGCGCGGCGTTCGCTCTCTCCGGTTTCGGTAAAGAAAGCGCAGACGAGGCGACCGCGCTAGCGGGATTTGGTTTCAGCGGGAACGCCGGTTGGTCCGCCGACCGTGTGACACCGCGCATCCGCGCCCACGTCCTCACCAGGCGGGACGCTCCATCCGTCAGCACCGTCGCCGCCGCCGCCTCCGCTACCGCCTTCAAAACAATTTCGCGGTTCAGCGAACGTCGGGGTCAATGTGGCCGGTCGATCGGAAACCCGAGCGGTGGAGCGTGGTGGGGGTGGGTTTAGGGTCACGGACCCGAGGTCTCCAGTCATGCACCGCGTCACGCACGGTAACGTGTCACGCACCATCGTCTGTCACGCACAGTAACGCGTCATGCACTATCGTGTGTCAGGCACAGTAACGCGTCGCGCACCATCCTCTGTCAAGCACAGCAACGTGTCGCGCACCACAACGGACGCCTTTGTGCGGTACCACGGTGCGGGAGGATGGCAGCACAGAACGACTTTTCGACTCGTTTCAACTGGACTCGCTCGCTCGACACGACATCGCGACACGCGGTGCGGTGTCCGAAGTGCAGTCAACTGTTGTGCTCAGATCCAGAGGCAGGGTGGGTGGATTGCGCAGATTGCGAGTGATGCGCAAGTGAGCGACACCCTAAACCTGTTGGGCTGTAACGTGGCCAGAAAGCAGTGCCAGTGGGCTGCTGAACAATATGTACGGAACTTTGAGTGCCAGCCCCTTGCTTTGTTTTTCTCATGCAAAACAACTCATTCAACCGGAATTGGCCAAACATCCCAATGCAGGACTGGTTTAGGATGTTAAATCATTCTTGGCCGAATAAGGAAGATTATCAGCGCAGTCATTGGCGGCGTACCAGAGACCAAACGCTCATTACGGTAGAGAACCCGGTTCAATCCCAGGTGACCTGAACCAGGAATCTAACGGGGTCGGGCTCAGTGCCCGCTCCAGCTGTCCGAGCTTTAAGCCCATGAGAGCATTCTGCAGCATCGACTCGCACGCGGCCGACTGCGCTCGTGAAGTGGCGACGGGCTGCCCTCGCGTGCCAGACGCCCGCTCCCACGACGGTCCGACAACAAGACCCCGGGGACGACACGAAGAACAACCCGATTATGATAACGTTTATAACCGGTGGTGGGGGGGGGTCACCGCTCCGTCCCACGGCCCAGCGGCACATTTACGAGGCACCGCCGCCGCCACGCCGCCACTGCCCGGCAGCATCTGGGGCGAGGCGCGCGAGGGGGACAGCCATCGGACGTGGGCCACGGGAGACATCCGTCCTCCACCCGGCCCCCCTGAGTCTCGTAAAGTTTGGCGTGGCTGAGACAACAGAGCGAGAGGGCGGTGCGCACGGAGACGGCGGGTAGCGTGCGCGTGGCCGTCGCCGCGCCGGTCTTTAGAAATCAACGAGCCCGGCGCTTCCGCGCGTTCCGTCGTGATAAGCCTGTCCCCCCCCCCACCCTCCCACACCCCCACCCCCCGCCACCAACACAGATAATTCGACAAGAGCGGATGCCGTGGGGAGTAGAGCCGGCACGCGGATCCGCCCGGTGCTGCGCAGAAGCGATTGTTACGGCGGCTTAACGTTCGCCAGAGATACATGGGCACCCCCGCCACCCCCCCGCCCGTTTTCGTAATCAGAAGACATGACGTTTCTGCATGGCGTCGCGGTTGCTGTGAGTTTCGTCCCCTCTGTGGCCAACATAAAAACTCAACACGCTTCGTCAACAACGATTCCCCGAAAGAGGAACACGCGCAGAACAGGCGACATGCACCACTGCCAAATCAGCATCACAAAGCAAACCTCTGGCCAATGCAGCGTACTCCCATGTCCAAAATATTCAGTGAGAAAAAAACGAGGCTAGCAGTTCAATACGACCCTCCCGAACAAGTGTCGATACCATCAGGATTCTCTGTGTCCATACTGCCGCCCACTGGTCACAGAGTTCATCCGTACAATTCCCGTTGGGGTCACGGAACGGTGAAACCCACCCGGAACAAAGCAACAGTCTTGATACCGTGCAGATTCGCATCTCGCGGCCGCGTCGCCGTCAAACAGGGCCACACCTCAGGCTGCCTTTGACTTCAGCGAGTCTCATTGGCAAGCACGTGGTCCACCACAAACCGCCTACGCAAAAACCATGGCAGATGCAGATACCTGATGCACCAATGGAAATTAAAAACACTCCGGTGTGCGACTGTGGTCATCCAGATCAGACATCGGAGAGCGAGCGGAGCGTGCTTCTCGCCCTGCTCGCCCGTTCAACGGCTGCTACCACCCGTGTGCGGCCTGTTGTGCGTTTTTTGCTGACCGGATTCCGGCTGAAATTCCACCTTTGAAAAGCTTTGAAAAGCTCTGCGTTTTCAAAGCATAACGCCTCTCACCGTCCGTGTCGCGATAGAAAACACGCCGGCATCGCTCTTTCCCCCCCTCCCCCGTGCAACTGACGTGCGTCAGCGCGCCATCAGGCTTTGTTTAGCGATGAGCACTTTTAACATCAATATATATGAACCTCAGTTGCTGGTGATTGCGATGAACGCCAAAGCGATACGCAATTTACGCCGAGAGCAACACGCAACCCAAAAGCGGCTCCTCCACGTGGATCTCGTAGCGAGCAATTCCGTACGTCTCGGACCATTGAGCCGAATGATTCCGAACTGTTGTCAATAAGAACCAAAAACGGTAACGTATTTCGGCCAGGAATTGTAATGACGCTCGGCCGGTGATGTCACCGTGATATTGCTCCCATACCCACTCCGACTGGACATCTGTGAAAAGAGCTTAATAGCTCATCACATTGCCCCAGTATAAATAAATATTATGATTTTCTGCAGCTTAAAACTAGTTCTGCATGGCACGTACATTGCAGCCCAGGCGAGCACCCACAAGAGCTGTCATGAAGTTTAGGTGAGCTACTAGCGAGCCACATGCTTGCATAGCTGAGTAATACGGTAATCAAACTATGTTTTATTTTACCGCCTTAATGACCACTGAGCTCTATAGTTCTTTCAGCAGCGACCTGGCCACAAATGATGGCTCAACGTAAGTGGTCCATCGCGTGGAAATCTATAGCAGCCAAATAATCTAAACGCTCGTTGATTCTAAATGTGGGGGGAAAAAACGGAGGACCCGGAGAAAAATCTACGCGATCACGAGGAGAACATGCAAACACTCCAAATATATAGGATTCAGGGTTGGGATCGAACCCATGACCTCCAACATTCCAGGCGAGGGATTAACATCTCGCCACAACCGTGGGCCCCTAAAGCCAGCTTCAGTGCATGGCTTTCATTTCTGCTGTTATTTCACACAGTGTTTGTATTTGTCACCAATGTCTCATCAGCATCCTGGCACACAGTACGGGGCACACAGTCCATCCTTTCTGGACATAACCCCAATGACACAAGGGGCCACAAAAGTCCCAGTGGGGAATGACCTTTGCATTGATTTGTACCCCTTCCTGTGTTATCCTTCGAGGGCCCACCCTACACAGCAACTCAATTCCGCTTTCTCTTTGGCTCACTCCAAAGCTATCGGCTAAATGATCCCTCTGAGCTGGGCTCGACTTGGGTTCAGTGCGAATGTAAAATCCATTACAGATCACTTCTCTTCAGTTGGGGAGTTTGAGATTTGAACGTCGGGTCCTAATGACATTGGCTCAGTGCTCTAACACTGGCGCAGCTTAGTTTCCTTAGCCACTTGATTAACTCTACTTTAAATGCAGCCATGCCAGACGCTAATGAGACCCACGCGGTCGGGGCCCGTGCACGCGTACCGATCCCCATTTCCAGTGACACGGGGGGACGACAAGAGGGCAATTAGTGGCGCTCGTTCAAACTCACAACTCGCCCCGATTGCCGCCCAACGCGTTTCGGCAAAAGTCCAGAAGCGACGGGTAACGACGCGGCGACTCGACGTAGTCTGGGTGAACGATCGCTCTGTTGTGCACGGGAATTTCACACTGAACCCATGCCGGCTTCAATCGCGCGCTTTCAGATGCGCTTCTGGAACGCTCTTCCTTCTGATATTAGGAAGCCACTGGAGCTATTGTGCTTTTAAATCATCTACATTGAAAATCATTTCTTTAGATCTGCTTTTTACGTTTAGTTTGTTGTCCTTCTGCCGCACCTCCGATAAGCATGGTTGGCTATGTGTGGTGCGAAAGGAGTTCAACGTACATACATACATATATACTCTGAGACGCGG